GTGTGTATGCCGTGTGTGTGTGTGTGTGTGTATATGTATGTATGTGTATGCCATATATATATATATATATATATACTATATATATATACCATATATATATATACATATATATATATATATATATATATATATATATATATATATATATATATACTATATATATATATATATATATATATATATATATATATATATATACCATATATATATATATATATATATATACCATATATATATATATATAATATATACCATATATATATATATATATATATATATATATATATATTATGATATATAAAAATAGAGTAGACAAATTTATGAATAAAATGACAATATTCTCCACATGTGACAATCTCTGACGTTATTTTTCAGTTAAAAATATGAAAATAGTGTTTCTCTACATTCCAGTTGCTAGGTACATTCTGTTTTTTGTTTTTTATTAGTTACTTTGTTCATTTAATTTCATTTTCGTATTTTGCTTTGATAAAGTCCACATTGGACGAAACGCGTCAGCAATTACCAGTTTTCCTATTGTCATTTTTATTCATATCTATATATATATATATATCTCCCATATATATATATATATATATATATCCCATATATATATTCTATTTATACATTATTTTAATAGATACATTTTATTTAAATACTTGTCAATGTTTATGGTAAGGTATGTTTTGTCAGCAGACATGATCATTCGGGAAAGATTGTTGAAGATTTATTTATAAGCAGTAATTTGAACTTTCCTTATCAGACGCTTCTCTGTAACTGAGTGGTATGGCATGTCAGATCAATTGATGGTTCCATGCAGAGCACAGGTTTGATTACTCTCGGAGAATGCATATTTTCTATGAAATTTCTCGAACATTCAGGTTGGTAAATGTAATTAATACTGTTTATTTAATGAACAGAGCATTTACTTAAATAAATTGTATCTATTAAAATAATGTATAAACAGAAAATATATTAAATAATTGTTGAACTTAATCCATTTCATTATTTATATATATATATATATATATATATATATATATAATTTTGAGATTTTAGCAAACAAACTTTGTTTTATTATTATCATGATATTGTCTTCCTATCATTGACATTATGGAGGAAGGTGAAATCACTGCAATATGTTTTACTTTTCACTCTTTTGAGATGTGTAGAAAGACCTATCAAATAAAATGGGAAATAGTTTAATGCTTGGAACGCCAAATTAAGAAATGAATGTGTCATAAAAGAAAGTAAAACTGATTTTAATTTATTGGAAAGAAATCCTCGCTGATCAGTGACTAACACTCGTAGTCTTTTGTAATAGTCACATTGAGATATGTTTGCCCATCTCCTGCAGTTTACAAACATAAACACTGACATGGTTTCTACATTTACATTTCTTACAAATACGCATTGAGATGAATCACCCACCCACATCTTAGTTTTAGGAAGGCTCCAAATTATATTTATTCAAAGGTAGTAACCTGTATTGAGTGACATGTATTTCAAGGCCTGTTGTGTGTTCAAAATGATGAGAAGACAATTTGACTAATCACCAATAAAATGTCAGAAAATATGACTGAATTTGCCAAATGGTCAATCAGCTTTCTTACATGATTGGAATTGGTTATGGAGTCTGCCATAAAATCCTTGCAGAAAAACCTGAACATTGAATTGATGTAATGTTTGTCTGACGGCTGGCATTGCTGTGTATACTACTGAAGGGTCTATTTTGAAAAGCTTTTAAAGAATACATGGAATATATTATTTACTGGAGAATTCTTTTAAAGACTTAAGATAGGAATTTTCTGCCTTCTGATCACACTTTACATAATTAAATTTATGGAAATTGTATTGCTTAAAGAGCTTTTATGTAGGATGATGATGACTTGGAAAAGTCGGATGGTATCTTTAGCAACAATAGTTGTGTCACATATGATATAACCTTTCATTAAAATGCTATTTACATTAAGAAATGATAAAAGTTCAATCATTGATAGAAAATGTTAACATACATTCTGCTCAAAGGTTCTAGGCCACCTATTCTTTTTTTATTTCTGTTGACATGGCTAGTCCACCTATACGACAGTCAAAACTACCTTCATAGATGTTCATTAGCAGCAGATGTTACTGCAATATTATAAGTGATTAGATTAGCAAAGTTGCCTGCAGTTATTCTGATTAAATGGTTTTAGAATCATTATTAAGCTTTACATTTACAAAGTGGAAAAGCATTTGGTTTTCTGTCCAGGAAAAAAAAGAAAGAAATAGAGATTAGAATAAGGGATTTATTGAATTAATTTATCTTAATAACAAATTAAGTGTTGTATTTCTCAGACTTTTATACTGTCAAAATATTTATTCTGAAATGCAATAATACCTTGGCTTAAGTCGTTTCGAGTTAAGTCATTTTCAAAGATACATCGGTTTTTTTTCAAGTATTATATGGAAAAATAAAACTTGCCTTAGGTTGTTTTACTCAAGTTTATGTTGGCTGTTAAAAATATTAGAAACGTCAAAACACTAAAATAACAAGACACATATAAAATCATATTTAAATAAATTTTAAAATAATATATCAGAAAATCATCACAAACAAAATATTAGCATAATTACGTTCAAATGTTATTATTTCAAATTCCTGCTGACAGGTGGCACTTGTCCGTTGTCTTCCACACCAACACCAGTTTTGAATTCAGACTTATTTACATCTGTACTCTGCCTTTGATGTTCCTTCAGTTACATTTCAATTGTGTTTTAGAATACATTTTGGCTCCAAAGAAAAGTTCCAGTTCTAATGCTAAGTGTAAGATTATATCACGGGAAGATAAAATGGTAATTAATTATTTTATTCAGAATACTGTATGTACATATCATAAATACTGTAATAGGCAATGGGGGGAGGGTGCTTATTTGCAGGTTATAATGTGGTTATTTTGACTTGTCATTTTTTTCAACCTAACTTGTAACCTCTGGAACCAGTTAATGGCATAGGATGAGATATACCTGTATAGGCAACATTTAACTTCTAAATTTGAAACCTTAAAACTTCTGGTTAAAAAAGTTTTGGTGGGGGTTATCAAAGTGGCTTAAATTTAATAAAAATGATTTTGTATTGAAAAATATTCCCCAAAATGTATTTTATTAGTTAGGTGTTATACTTTATTATATTAGAGAATATATAACAGCAAATAGTTCTTTATTATTCTAAACTTTACTTAATATTAATAATCATATGAGTGTATAACCAATCCTGTCATCTCTGAATATTCCTCCTTTATTGTGCCTTTAATTAAACTTTGTTGATAAGATAAAAGGAAATAGTTGTTATTCATTTGTAGATTACAGGGTTAAAAATTCAATTTCTGCTTTTATCACCCACTCAATTTACTTTAACACTTTTTTAAAAAAAAATTTTTTTTTAGTCTTGTCTTTTCTCAAAAGTTTTAACAATGGGATTCATAGTCTCTGGTTATTAGAGCATTCATCTGGAAATTGAAAGATCTAGAGTTCAATTCATACTGTGTATTGCTACCCACACATTGTGGGAGGGACTCAGTTTATTTTTTTTTATTTTTTAAAATACTGGAAGTAATGTTTTTTTTTTTTTGCAGTTTCATCTTAACAATATGACTTCATGTGTTGAATTACTCAGCAAATCATAAAAAAAGTTTTGGAGGGATGGTCACTTCCAAATTTTAAAATAATTAAAAAAACAAAAAAACTGTTAAATAAAAAATATAATAGACACACCTAACAAACAATATTGGTGCCCCAGTGACCTAGTGTTGAAAATCTTTCTGTATCTTATCCATATACTCTCCAGGCCCTTCCTTAACAGCTAAGAAGTGGCTCATGTTAAGAAATGTCAAATTCAGTCTTATCAGGTAAAACAAATATTGATAGAATTTGGTTGTTATTGATATCATAAGTACATGAATGGGTTGATTACTATGAGCTTTAAGTGTGAAAGGCTTGTTCAAGGTTTTCATATATTATTGGTTTGAATGTCCTATGGCTGGTTAAAAGATGGGAGTTATTTGGCAGGAGGAAGGTCCATGTAAAATCTAATTAATGTAGATAGAATCATAATAGCTGTTTTTTTCTTCTTTTTTTTTTATTTAAAAAAATAAGGAATAACTGTAAATTGCTATTTTTATTCCATTTGAAGTATTTTAATGTAGTATTATTATGAACATGTAATTGCTCTGTCTGTATTATTTTCTCTTGGATTAAGTCCTAATAATTGACAGTATCATTTTTCTATTATTTCCAATACACAACTGACTGTAGAAATTTACTAAAACAAGTTTTAAAAAAAAAAAAAGAAGCATAATTTATTGTTTAATCATCAAATCTGTCCTGCAACCACCACTATGAGAAATATTTTATCTTTAATCATTTTTGCACAAAGTTGTTACAGTGTCCTGGGTAAGACTATAAACTAAATCTGGCAGCAGAGTCTCTGAACAGGAGGTTTTGAGGAATGCGGAACCACCTTTTCATTGCTGGTATTCCCAGGTCCACTTTGACCCAAGGTGGTAGCATCTGTTAGGGTCCCAGTTATGGGTAAACAGTGAATCCCCAAACTGGGGTCAAAACACTATGAAAGTAAAAATAGTTTTTAATACCAGCAATACATTTTTGTAATAATTATTACCAACAATGAATTTTTGAAGAAAAAAAATATTAGTAGCAGTACATTTATGGAAAAAAAAATATTAGCAGCAATACATTTTTGGAAAAAAATAATACCAGCAATAAATATGTTGTCGGCATTAAATAACCCATTGAGGTTGATATGCTGCAAAACAAACCAAACTACTTTTAACAAGGAAAAAAGATTTTACAAGAAAGAAAAATCCATAAAATCTGTAAACCAAACCAAAGTGGTTATGGGGAGAGAAGTGAAGAACTGGAAGATGAGTTATAATTTAATGGCTAATGATAAAAAAAAAGTTAATATCCTGGTGATCTATATACCAGGTTCAAATGCAGTAAGTTTACGGCCATATCACATTGAAACACCACTTCCCAAACAGTCACTGAAGTTAAGCAACATTGAGCCTGGTCAGTACCTAGATGGTTAACTGCTTGGGAATATCAGGTAAGCTTGGATGTGCGCATGGTGTAATTGATAATGGCTCCAAAATTGTTAATCGGAGAGCTGAGTTTCAATTCCAGTTGGGTCCATATATTAACTTATTCACAAATACCCTTTGGAAAGGTATGAATTCACTTCTCCTTTCTCCAGCTATTGGTTATTTAATAAGTCTTGTATCACTAAAATCATTATCTCAAAAAAAAAAAATTAATCATCATAGAGAAATGTTTTGGCCTTCCATCAGTAAAGGCTGATGCTAACCTCCAGGAAAGTAAATCATTGCACCTTCTCAGGTTAACATTTTTTGCTGATATGAAATGGTAAGATTATATTGAGTCAATTGCTAGGAAAGTTGGTTTATTGTGTTGTGCTAGACAATTTTTCTTGCCAGAATCTTGAAACTTATCCCTCAAAGTGATTCCTAGTCTATTTAGCAATAAACAACTGCAGACAACTTACTGTCAAAATCAAGAAAAATCCTTGAAAAAGAATCCTTGAAAAAGAACATTTGAAAAGAATATTTGACCATCTCCCACAATTTACCTTTATCATAACTTGGACGAGTTGAGAAATCAATCAATATATTGCCAGAATCTTTTATATTTATAAGACTACTATTCATCCATGCATTGAATACTGCTGTCCCATTTAGGGCTGGCACTAGGGTCTTGGGGGCCCCCTCTGAAACTTTGATACACTACATATCGATTTCAAAGTTTCCCAACTTGGGGGCCACAAACCCTTGAAGGAAAATTGGGAGGGAACAAAAAAAGAGCTCACCAAGTATTATTTTTTTTGACCCCAGGTTAGTGATACTGAGTATTACAAACTCTTCTCATCATCAAAAAGAAAAAGCTTTCAAAATAGGATTAAAAAGAATAAAAAAAAAAAAATGATCCATTCATTGTATGAGTCAAACACTTGTAAAATCCCCAATAGTTTTTAAGTTCCTGTAAGGAATGTTTTGTATATGTTTATTTTTTACCAAAAGCGATCAAATTCTGGTTACCATTAGTTCTGTTGTTTGTCTGTACAATAAAGTAAGTATAGTACAGAAAGTTATGGCCGATCACTGCTCTCCACAACTTCCTGTTCTTTGTAAGTTGTGGAGAGCCATGATTGCCCATGTCTTGATAGACCATAGTAGATTATACAGCAAGTTAGATTAACACTTATTCTAGTGCTTATAAAATCTTAAAATTCTTTAAAAAGTAACATAGAAAACAACCACTATTGTTAATAGTGATGTTACTTATCTCATTAATAATATAGTTCCTTTATTCTTGTCAACTTGCATTTCTATAAAAAAAAAATGTTCAACCTACACTACCCTCCCCCCTCCCCCAACCTGGTGGTTAGCGGAAATGCCATTCCTGAACTCTGCAGCTTCTGACCTCATCTCTCCCTTCATGGTTGACTGCAGCTGTTACTCTCTTCGGGATGACAAAGAACTTACAGTCAGTCAGTCGTTGCCACCACCAGTTAACAAATTTTAAAGAGTGAGTTGCCATTTCTGTACTATTAGCCACAAATAGAATTTCATTCTGATTTCTGCTGTTGCCACCTTTGTTACTGTTGTCACCTGTGGCTGATGTGTAGTATAACTTTTCTGAAGTGAGACATTGTGTCTCTGTCTAGATAAATATCTACTTACCTATCTGTTTTGTATAGACTTGTATTATCATATTGATTCACTCAGATGCTGTCTAATTACTTAAAGAACAAAATTTTGTATACTTGTTTTGATGTTTATTTACAAGAAAAGGAAATACCTGGTATGTCTCTTTTAAAAGCTCTCTACTGATTAGAACGCAGTGCTGAAAAGTTCTCAGCTCAGCCAAGCAGAGAATGACCTAGAGCCATGCAATGTATATGTTAACCATATATTCACCTCAAAGTTGAATACAGTTGGCATATTGTTTCTTTAGTCTCTTTAACCCTTACAATTCCTGATATTTGTTAATTTGATAACTCGATCCACTTTTAAGGTTTGTAAACAGGAAATAGACAGATGGAGAAAGATCTAAAGTAAGGTGAAGGGTCAATAAACTCAAACTCTCCACATTCTTCAAAACGTCTATTGTCTTGCCAACCCTATGAACAGGTTCTGCAAAGAGAACAACTTTTATCAGATTCCCTAGGTGTTTTTCTTTCAATGTACCTCCTTTTATCAGCACAGAAAATTGGAGATTGGCCCTGGTGAAAATAGTCATCAAAGCACTTTCCTTATCTCAAACAAACCATTACCTGTCCTGCTCATTTGTAGATCTTAAATTTCTTTGACCATGGAGAATCTGAGTACTGTCTTTGCATTGAATCTTGATTCCAGACATGAGTGGTTTAACCAAGTTTCATCAAAAGTGACAAATTCTTCCAAATTCCTCATTAGATCACTTAAAATGCTGCAAAATCAACTTGGAGGTATCCACTTGATATTGTTTCTGGTCAGCATTCAATCACTTTGGTGACCATTTGGCTGGCATCTTCTGTCTATCCAACAGCTCATTAATTATAAATCCTAAACATTTACTGGATATGTCTAGTATTTTGGCAATTCTTTTGGCTAAGATTTGTGAATCAGCAAAAATTAGGTTATGAACATAACAATTTCAGCAGTTGACACTGTTGAAAGCTTTCTAATTGACTTCTAGCTTGTAGTGATTTTATAACATATTTGTTATAATTTTCCAATAAATTATACACACACACACACACAAAAGATGGGTGCTGAAAAGTTCTCAGTCTGGTTCAGTTTCCAAAATAAGTATTCTGATGTTTGGTCATTGAAATAATGATTCTGAGAAGTGAGTCAAACTTAGAACATTTCAGCACCCTCTTTTTAATTATGATTTTCCACCAACTTATGAAAGTATATTTGACTATGAAGACCAGTTTTATTGATCTAGGTTTTTATTTGTCTTTTTTAAAGGATAACTAATTTTCTTTTTCTATTTTTTTTTTTTTTTTTTTTTTTACAAAGATATGAGTAGTTTTAATTTTCTATTTTGTATATTTGGAAATAGTTGATATTGTACTGTTAGTAAAATACTTAAATAGCAGTAATATTATCTGTGACCAATTTTATATGACCAGTTTGTTTCATTTTTGTCTAGGTTGGCTCATTTTGAATATGTCAAAAGTGAGGATCTGGAGAAGATTGGAATGGGAAAGCCTGCTATTCGACGTCTGCTGGATGCTGTGAAGAGGAAAAAAGCCTTGAGGAAAAAGGGAGGGATCTTTGAAAAGGTAGGTGCAACAGAGTTACATAGAAATAACTTTTTTTTTGCTTAAAATATTGTAAAATAGAAGTTTACATAATTTAAAAAAAAATGTCTGAAGAATTCCTATTAGCATTTGTAACCACCATGGTTTCTGTGACATTCTCTCTCTGTTGAATGTTCTACAAACTTCTTAAGCACATTACCACTGCAGCCATATAGCTGTCATTTCTTATTCTGTTTTGATTCTACATGTTTCAGATGGTTCCTTGGCCTTATGCTTGTCTGTCTTAAGCCTTGACTTTATAGGATTGCAACAGTTAAATGGTAAAAAATTGTCATGTTCCTGTGGCAATCCATTTTTGGCATATTTTTATCTGGCAATTTAAACTTCTGATTAAACACACATTGACTGATACTGTAAGATCAACATTTGGTAGTATGTGCTTTTTAATAATCTTGACCATATTGAGTTGTGAAGGAAGAAACCAGTCCTCAATTTTTTTCTCACCATTGTTCTCCAATATTTTTCTGTAATGATCACAGTGTATGATATAAAAAAAAAAATAAGCTGATTCATTGATGTTTAACTTTAAGGAACACATTTTGATAAGGAAAAAAAATTGCTTTTTTATTTGAATTTCTTACTAAGTAATACCCTTATTTTTTCTCTAGGAAATTTGAGAGCAAGAATATTTTCAATTGACAGATTTGATATGAAATAAGAAATTGTCTGGTAGGCATTAATAGGCTATAGGAAGAATAGGCTATAGGCATTAATAGGCTATAGGAAGAAACCTATAATTCTGGACTTATAGTTTCATTTTCATAATTAATGCTGGATTTTATGATTGTCATTGATAAATTAACTACCAACATTTTTACTTTTTAATTAAGTTTTAAATCCCTTTACAGTTTACATTTCAAGTAGAAATATCTTCTTAATGAAAAAAGAACCCCCAAAACCCTGCAATTCAATAGTACAAAGGTGATGTTTGTAAAAATAAATACACATGAATACCATTGTCTCAAATGAAATTGTAAAAGCTAAATAGAAGTAAAGGAAAAAACCTGAAGTTGGTTTATTGAAAGTAAACTACTAGAATAAAAAAGTGAAAATGGTGAAGTATTTTCTAGAAAAGAAATGAAACCAAATAATCTGCTTGACTGAGGGACAAAAATAAATAAGAAAACTAAAAATTAATTATGCAGTCAACTACATTTACTTATTAGTCTGAATTCTGGTTGAGTTTGTTACATTTACTTACAGAAAAATAAGGTATGAATCTTCTCCCCCACAACTATGGGTTAAATAGTAGAAATTGTATCTGGAAAAATAATTTCTCCAAAACATTGTTAATGCAATATTCAGTTGTAAAAATTAAAAAAAATTGTTTCAGTTTCAAATAATTCATAAAGGGTTGCTAAGCCATAAAATACAAATCAAAAGACACATCACTAATGTCTTTCATAACAGTGGTGTAGTGGATGTAGGAGTTGGTTATACATATGTTACATGAGTTCAATCCTTGGATCTGGTAATGACAAACCAATTCAACAACAACTGATATTACAGGAACAAAATATAACAATTAACAGATATCCCATAACACATGACAAATGAAAATTTAATTTGATTGATTCATTTTTTACATTTTACCAACCCTCTGCAGGTTATTTAAAGCCAGAAAATATTTTTAGATAGTAAGATTTTTATAGATAATGATTTTGGTCATACAAGTCTTACTAATTAACCCCTAGCTGGGGGGAGAAGTGGATTCATATCTTTCTCAAAGGTATTTTTATGTAAGTGAATCTAACAGATCCAACTGAAATTGGAACTGGGCTCTATAATGAAAAATTCCAAGCCATTATCCATTACACCAGCCACACATCCAAGTTTACAGCACCTGGTATTCTCAAGCATTCACCCATCTAAGTACTGACCAGGCTCAACATTGTTTAACTTTGGTGATTGTATGGGGAACCAGTGTTTCAACACTATGTGACCATAAGCTGTACAAATGAAGAGTTTTACCAAATGACTTCCAGTAGCAGCAACAACAAAAATGCATAACACATGTGACTACAAAAGAAGATAATGATATAATGAAACTGTTAACTTTCCACATTACCAAAATCAAAAAGATTGAAAGGAAATTTCCATCAATATCAGAAAGAGTTATAACATTTCATCAACTTGAGTGTAATTTCTTGAAAAATTGTTTTAATGGAAAAAAATTTGAATTTCAACTGACAATAATACAAACTGTGTAATCGGTGAATGCTGTTTCCTGTATGGAAATGCCTAATTTTAACATTACAATAACCAACCTGAAAAATTCAGATATTTTCTAATATGCACATATGCTTATACACATTAAATAATCAACAATGTTAAAACTGTTGATGGTAATGATATATTGTATCATTTAGGTTTTAATATTATTTAATATATGCATGCTCACTATACAAGTAGGTATAAAAATGGTTACTGCAGTTGAATTGATAAAACAAAAAAATTGTTTCAGTTTTTGAACTACAAAGTAATGGGCTCTTGCATACATTAACAATTTTTGTGTAAACTCCAACATTTAACTTCATCGGGACATAGTCACACATTTTTAGAATACTTACTGTTCTTGTTATTTTTCCTGATGACTATAAATAGGAGTTGACATGCCGTTAAATCCAACATCCATCCTGATGACTATGTATTGAAAAGTTGGCTGAAGTGGCAATATTGCTGATCTCATGTACAATTGGGCATCTTCTGTGGTTGTCATCGATGGTTTGGAATCTGAACCAGTGGCTAAATTGCTGGAAGGTCACAAGAAGCTGGAAGCTTGCCTTAATGACCTTGCAGTGAGGCTTAATCAACTGTCTTTTCTGTGCTAGGAATCATTTGAGGGAGAGGGTTACAAATCCTGTTTTGGAAGCACAGAAAATAGGGTGAATGATGCTAACATGTACAATTCATCTTGTTCTTTTAAATCAAGGAAAATAAGCTGGCAACTGGAAACAGCATAAAAGTATGTTGCTTGTTATTTTTATGGGACCAGCCAACTAGTATTCACTTTCTGGTGGATAGTAGTACCCAGGTGCCTATCATTTCTGCTACTGCAGCAGACAAACTTAAGGGCCATACAAGTTTACTCTTCAGGTAGTAAATAAGTCTCTGATCAAAACTTATGGTTGGAGGAACTTGCAACTTAATTTAGGCTTACACTAGGATTTCACTTTTTGTTTTTTATTTTTTTTGTAGCTGCTGATATTGATCAGGCTGGGTGATGATTTTCTGTACAAATATGTTTTGATTGTAGACATTCATAAACAATACTTAATAGATTCTACAACACATCTTGCGTCATTGTGCTTTGGTTTGTAGTACTGTCTCTTTATGTCCTACTGTGGTGAATCCTGTAGAGGGTTTCCATTTTCAGTCACATATTGGAGAAACTGCTTTCCATCACTATTCTCTTTATCCACAAAGAGACATAACCTCACACTGTTACCCATCATATATAGACAAATGGTCCTCTATCTATTGGCACATCAGGTGGTTGGTACCTGTAATTGAAGGTAGACCAAATAGAATTTAAACAAATATTAAAACTTGGGATTATTTCTCTATTTAATAGTGATTGGACTTCTCTTTTACATTTTTTACCCCAAGGTAGTGATTCGTGGCATACTTGTAAAGATTACTGGATTTTGAATTTGGTCACTAAAAAGGACTGATACCCTATTACTTATATTCATTACCGTCATTAACAAGAGTAAACATTTTTCACAAGGCTTAACTTTATGGTGTGTCATCAAAATTCTGTTGACCCTGAACATATTCAAAGACAACAACAATAATTCCTTTCAGTTTTTTTTTTTGTTTTCAGGTATCCTATTTGGAATGCTTCACAATCTTTTCAGAATGTTATTGACCACATATTGTTTAATCATTCTTTTGTTTGTACTTAACATGGATGAGGTCTTGATAGTGATACAGTGGAGGGACACATATTTGTTGTGTTTTTAGTATTTCAGAAAATTTGGTGTAGTTGTAAATCCAGATAAATGTGAATTTGGTAGATCTGAAGTTGTTTTTCTTCGACAATGCATTTCCTCAGCCTGCATATCTCAATCTATGGAGGAGGAAGAAGTGAAAGCTATTGATATATTTCCTGTACCAACCAGCATGAGGTAGTTACATCAATTTTGAGGCATGATCAAGTTTTTTTTCGATATATTTTGCTCCACTGTGCAAACATGCTCAAAGAATTAACTGACATGTTAAAAAAATTGTAACTTCATTCTTTCAGATCCTGCTTTTTTGGCATTTTGAGAAATCAAATCTGTGTTATTGAATGCCATGAAAAACTCACATATTGTCCCTGACCATGAATTATGTTTGGCAGTGGATGCTTCATCCAGTGGAATTGGTGCTGTTCTTCAGCAATGTATTGACAAGGACTGGAACCCCATTTTCTTTTTCTTCTGTAAATTGTCTTTTACAGAAATAAGATATAGAAAGTCTGGATATAAGCTTCTAGCTGCTTATTCTGTAATCCACAACTTTAACAACTCTTAGAAGGCTGGACATTCTACATTTTGATAGACCACAAGCCTTTATTAGATGTGTTTCAGTCTTCTTCAAACAAGTTCTTACCCTGTAAAATATGACATCTGGAACACATGCTCCAATTCAACTTCAATATTTGTTGCATAAAAGATACAGATAATGGGCCTGTAGACACCATGTTTGACAAACAACAACAACAACAAAAGAAAAAATGAGCAGCTTTATACATTTTTAAAATTTGAGAAAAATCATAATTTCTGCAAGTGATGCAGAAATTATCTGGGTTTTAAGTACAAGTTCACTGTCCTCCAGTTGTATCTAAATCTATACACAATTTTTTTTTCTCTCTATTACATAACCTGTTATGTTCTGGCATCAATAAGACTGATCACTGATTTGATATTTGTCTTTGATCAAAGACTTCTATACAATGCTAAAAGGCTAAAGACAGTCACCACACACATTCTTCATGTATTGCTGTTGAGAGATTCATGCGGATATTACTGGGCCTCTGCCAACATGTGAAGTTTACTCTTCCTTCCTAGCATGTGAGGACATTGTTGTGAAGCCTTTTCAATGGTGAACATCACATCCCATACAACAGTGAAAACTTTCCTTTCTGGATGGATAGCATGTTTTTGAGTTCCAACTGTCCTCACTAAGGACAGAACATAAATCGGAGTCAAACCTTTTCTGTCGATTGATGAGTTTACTCAGTTGCAAGAAAATTCACATGACTTCCTACTGTCCAGAAGTTAATGGTTTGGTGGATAGATTTTATTGCAATCTGAAATATATTTTATATGCTATTGTAGACCAACCAATTTGGTTGGAACACCCGCCTTTAGTCTTTTTAGGATTTCACACTGTTGTGTAATAAAAAAAGAAATAAATTGTTTATCTGCATAGATCGTGTATAGTAGGGATGGCCAAACTTGCTTAAGGGTAATAGCCACATATAATAAAATTCAGATGTCTGAGAGCTGCAAGACATGAACAAAATTTACACATGTTTTTGTTACATACACATTAACTTGCGTTTTAATCCAATGGGGTCCCAATTAATACCCAGTAACTAATTATAAAGTTTGAAATTTTTCTTATTTACCTTTTTATATTAACTGTGAGAAAAAAAGGAGCTCAGCTAACATATTTCTACAAGCTTCATATTAAAGGTCATAGAGCCGCATATAGCTTGCGAGCTGCAGTTTGGTCACTCTTGGTGTATAGTATGAGTTTTCGTCTACCAGGACAATATTTTTAGGAACCACCTGAAAAAGTCTTGAATTTTATTTGTGGACAGGCTTACAATTTAAAATGGCCAACTCTGCCTATCATTCTTCTGGTTGAGCTGATAAAAAGATTTATATACCTAAACTTTTGAAACTTTGTATTATGTATTTGTGTGTGATCCTGCTAGGGCTCATGTCCTGTAACCTCCTTATAAGGAAACTTTTTGTGTTATTAAGAGATATGACAAATATTTTGCCATGCTTTTTAATAATATTATGATAAATGTTTAATTATACAAGCTGAAACCTGCCTTTTTAGATGTCTCTGAACATACGCCTCACAACTGCATAAAGTAGTACCTGATGAACCAAAACAAATAGTAACACATTTAGGTCAGCAGGTTAAGTAACCCATATACCTTCTATTGTGATTATTCTATTTTTGTATTTGGCCATATGTTTGCTACATGCTTTCTTTTTCATACTCTGTATATATTTAGTAGGGAGAGGAATATTGTTGGGATAATCCCCCCCTCTAATTAGTATGCATAGCACTTGGTTGATCATGTGACCTTTAATGGCCAGTCAGCATAGTTTTTACAGAGGGGAAAAATATTTCTGTAGACACCAGAGAGGAAAAAATGTTCCTGACTTGTGAGAAAAGACAGCTTTTTTGCAACATCCACTAGTCTTTCTTTCTATGGTTGGAGAGAAGGCATATAATACATTTTTAATACTTTGTTGGCTTGTTCTTATCTTAGAAAATAAAAACTTTACTTATGTTCTTCCAACTTTGCTGTAGTCATTTTTTTATTATATGTATTTGACTAATTATTTGTTCCGATGGCTAGATATCACCAAGGCCACACAGCATAAATTTGGTAACTTAACCTATACTTGCAGCAAACATTTTTATTGCCACACCTTTATTCTAACCCTAATTTACCTAACACTAAATTAATTCTACATAAATATGTATTTATATATAAATAGATTTTAAAGATATATTGAAATTAAAGAAATATGGGATCTTTTCTGTTAATTCACCCCCAAATAATGTAAAGTTACTTATTGCAAATATTAATTCATCTCAAGAAATTATAAATTTTAAATCAGTTTTTTTTCTGTTTTTTTTATTAAATTTTTGGCATTCTTTTGAAATTATAAATTTTAAATCCAAATTTTTTTAGTTTGC